CTTGGCCTTGTTGAACTTTATGCAGTTGGCACAGTGTTCGTCACTGTGCCAGACCAAAGGTTCAGAAATATTAATAAAACTTGATTTTCATATTGGAAGACATGACAAGACATGACATGACAGTGTTGTCATCCTGTTCATGTACTGTTACACAGTGGTGGACGTTTCACCTTTGCTTCAGAATTGTCTGCTGCAATAGCAGTAGTCATTCTCACGATAGTCAAGCCTGTTGGATTCGTTTTAGGCTGCTTGGCCTTATGAAGGTCATGAGATTTCCCTGAAGATGGTCTTATTCCCACTGAGCATTGCCACCTCTTCCCTGTTCATCCTTTTCCTTTCCTCATCCCTGCTTGTTTTATTGCTCAGATGTCACAGACTTCCTGACTACAAGTCATTACTTCTGTTATCTTGGCAAATATGGCTAAGGAGTGTTGTAATGTATAAAAAATAATAAAACTTAATCTAAGTTACTAAATGTAATATAACCTGTTAAAATAGTGAGTTGCCCAAGTATATTTAAAGCTGGAGTACCAAATTGTTTGGATTCACCTAACAGATTCTCATCTGTCATTGCTGTAACAAGTGGTTCAAAGTAATCCTCTTTACTTTTCTTGAAAGTCTAAATGTGTACAAGCAGCAGGACTAGCTGAGAAAGAACTGGGGTTTATGAAACCAGGGAACTGGGACCAAGCAGATGAAATGTGGAGCTGTGTGCCAGAGCACCAGGATGCAGCTGAGCAAGGAAGTGGGAAATACAGTGGAAACATGGCCACGTGACTGAAGGAACAGACCAGATGTTGGTTCCCAGGCAGCTGTGCAAAATTCACCAAACCCTTGCTGCAGCAGCAGCTACACATTTCTGTTCATCACGCTACTTCGCCTTTTCTGTGCTACAGCCATATCTGTGGCTTCCGTTGATAGGTTCTTCCACCCCTTTCCACTGTGCTGACCAGTATTAGGGATGGAAGCGGTAGCCTGCTCATGTGAGGTCTCTGTAGCCATTTGTAAGGCTCAGAGAACTGCTATTCAGAGCATTCAGGGAACACTCTTGGCTCAAGAGCAAACCCGGTTACACGCAGATTTGCCTATTGATTCAGCATCTGTATCCTGTCTCTATCCCAGCTCTTTTTTCCAGGTCTAGTTTTCCTAAGGAGTTTGCTTTTTTGAAGACTTATTTTGAGGTCATTATGAGGGTAACCAACTGTGTGACAAGGGTCTGGTTAAGGGAGCACCATCCAAAACCTTTTTTAGGGAAAAAACTCAATGACACCAAGAGGTAAGGTGATAGTTACAAAGGAGACAACTGACGTAAATTGCTGAGAGGCTTAATTCTGGTGTTTCCTGATTAGGTTTTATTTGAGTATTTGAGCCAATGCTCTTTTTTTCTGAGGTTGAATGTGTGTGTGCACAGGCAATTTTGAGATTTGTTTTAATCTTGTTTTAGGGGAGTTAATAATAGCATTAATACAAGGTCAGATGGGAATTTACTCATGTAATAGGAGTATTGAGGTGACTCTGTGTTGCCAGGAGAGAGTTGCTTTGCTTTGTTTTGAAAGGTGAGAGCATTTGGAGTTAGCAACCTAATGGATATGTTTGCATGCGTTAGCTTGTAATTATATCATACGCTAATCTTTGATTTTTATTTTTTTTTATTTCAGATTTTGATGCATACCAAGGAGATGGTGCAAAAGGTAATGCTGAGCATTTTCATTAAACAACAACCCTTAAAGAGCACACCTGGTGAATTTTTTTTTATTCTAGGAGAACTGTAACCCAAACAGACCTGAAATCACTTCTTAGGATGCCTGGTTTACAAATGTAATCCTTCCTAATGGATTATAGCTTTTTTCTTTTCCTACCACAGATATGATCTGGCCCCTGCTTGAAGCCTATGTGTGGCTGTTTCAGGCAAATTAGCAACAGTGCTAATTAGAGTTTACTCATAGACCTGTTACACCATGTGTTCTAGTGTTTTATTACAGTTTATTTTTTGGCATCCTTTAAACTGTGTCACAGGGTAGGTTTTTTGCTCTGTGGAGTTTAACATGGACATAGCCATGCTGTAATTTTTACAGCTGCATTGGTTTTACACTGCTGAGGACATCAGGTTTTTGTGTTTTTTTTTTTTTTTTCTCCCAAGTTAGTATTACATAATTGGATGCATCTACCCATTTTTTTGGTGACATTTACCAATGTTGACAATTTTTCTTTTCACCTTTTTCCTTGCTCTGCCTTTCATACGCACCTTAGGCTTTTTTATGTGCTTCAATTTGTCTAGAGTTTGCTCCATTATCCCAGAGTATTATGGCAGTCTAGCTGGTATCTGAACACAATCTTTTCCAAGTAGGGCATTTGAATTGTTACAAGGATCAGAATGAGAGATGATACAAAAGGCAGAGTGTCAGAAAAAAGGAATAAGTCAATGTTTGTGTTCATCTCCAGGTGTAATCGTTCAGTAGTTCACGGGGGTAGAGAACTTGTGGGCCATAGTAGCTAGGTCCTTACCCAAAAGGAAAACCTTGTTCCCTGAAAGATCTGCTGCCCAGGGCAGGACTAACACAGGTAATCAGATTACAGCAGAAGACAAAAGATGAGAGTGGGAAGATGGAAATATGAAGCCACATGCGTAATCTCAAAAAGTGTGAGAAGAGCAGCCTAATCTGGGCAGTACGGTGCTATTCTGAGTTACTGTATCCACTAGCCAATACTTTCACGATGTTTGTTTGAAATAGAGTGTCTCAATTTTTGGAGGTTGTTTTGTTTCGCTTTAATCCAGAATGACTTTTTTGCAATAGTATAGTGATGGCTAAAAATGAGATAGGATACCTGACTGTCGTATTTTCTTTTAAACACACTGCCTAAACATCTTACCTGACCACCTGGATTTGTCCAGCAGTCTTTGAGTCTAGGTGATCTTCGTGTGCCCTAGCAGTCCAAATTTTATTTCTGATTAGAGTTCCTGCTATTTTTCAAGATTTGACTTGTTCATGGACATATTTTTCTTTCATTTAGTAAAATTTTAAGTATTTATATTGTGTACACGACTGAACAGTGTTTATTTTTTAAACATATCAGTGGCTTGTTTCATTATTCTCTTAAATTCAGTTATGTTGTAATGCAGTGTACAGTCTCTTCGGTAAAAACTTAATTTTACATTTTTCTACTTTTAAATATGAAAGGGATAATATACAGACAATGATCGTTTCAAATTTTGAAGATTGGGTGGGACTTTAAAAAGATGTGGTGGTTCTGTTTGACCTTTCAAAGAAATTTGTTTAATTTAGATGAACCTCGAAGTGATTTATGGAGACACAGATTCCATTATGATAAATACCAATAGCACCAATTTGGATGAGGTCTTTAAGCTGGGGAATAAGGTAAGGAATTTTTTCTTTTCAAAGCTTTCCTACACGTCTATGTTGTAACACTGGGTGCAGCAGACAGTGTTGAGAGAGGGCTCTGTGGCGTAAGCAGCGAATAGGCCGTGAGGAAGAAGTTGACCATGTAGCAAAGCTACGGAGTAGTAAAAGCTCAGAGTGCCCTGTCTTCAGGTGTTGCTACTCTGTTCCTTTTTAAAAGTGATTAAATTAAAATTACACCTTTCATTGTATAATGAGCTTTTTTACCAATTGTATGTTACCAGGTTACTGTCTGAATAATTGGTAAGCCCGAAAGTAAGGTACAGTTCCTCCATATGAGTTCGAATTACAAGAGGAACACAGTCTTGATTTTAATGATTTTTGGTTTGACATGAGAGTTTGCTTTTGTTTAGTTATGTAGTGTCTATTACACACTATGTGCTATCAGGATTCCAGTGGTAATATTAATTTCCAAGGTATAATAGATACAGAAGAGATCTGTTTGATTAGCAGTTGGCAACTGACGATGTGCAAGTTTTGTGGCTCTGAACTTGTGGAAGAGAAGTGAGAAATGTTTCAGAACATTTTAAAGAAAAGATATGGGAGAAGTTGTGTATGAAAGACAGAAGAAATTGTGATGAAAATGAGCTACGTGAGCTCTAAAAAAAACTGAAGAAAACATAGAGGTTTCATTCGGTATAGTATTAAACAAAAGTCATGTAATTTTAAGACAAGAGTGATTCTGGGGAGAAGTTATACAGAGATACTCTGTTGAAGAAAGTAAAGTACAAATGTACAAAGAAAGCACAATGCAAGTGGGAAACTTTCAGCCGAGCCAGCAGGTGGGTGAATGCATACTGGAACCAAAGTTTGTTGTTGAAGGTACACGTGGTTTTCAGCTGTTGTGCTTTTATCCTCTTAGAGGTAAGAGATGTGGAGCCATCTGATATTTGGTACTATATTAAGACAACATATGAAGTGCGATTTGCAAGCTTTTGTATGTGGATAAGACATAGGCTGTGTGTAGAAAAATGTCAACTTTTCCTCTTAAGGAGGGAGGAGGGAAGTGCCTTTGAAAGTCACCTTTTTTTTGTAAAACAGTTTCCATATTCTATCTTAAGTGACCGTCTCTTAGCTTTTCCTAGTAAGTGGATCCCTACTCTGAAATCCTGTTTGCTTAATTTATGGAAGAGGCTAGATGGAGTAGCTGCCCTAGTAAAACAGGCTGGAGTCAGTTTTCTGCGAGGTCACCTTCACTCCCATGCTTCTCTGCCCTGCTTAATTTTGTTAGGGAGTTAGATATATCAAACTGTAATCGTGAAGAAGCCAATGGGTGAACCTTAATTTTAATAGTAGCTCATCGTTACTACTGTATACTTAATTTCATGATGTCTGATGAGTCTTTAAAACCTGTATGCAAACACACAGCGTGTAATGCTACTTGTTTTAAAGCTTAAGAATGATACCCTTCTAGATGGAAGTTAAATTTCTCCGTAGTTATTAAGGTGTTGCATTTGGTTTTAACTGTGCATTTGCAGATCAAAAGTGAGGTGAACAAGCTTTATAAATTGTTGGAAATCGATATTGATGGAGTCTTTAAGTCCTTGCTACTGTTAAAGAAGAAGAAATATGCTGCGCTGACTGTGGAACCAACAGGAGGTGGGAAATATGTAACTAAACAAGAACTGAAAGGATTGGATATAGTCCGAAGAGATTGGTGTGATCTTGCAAAAGAGACTGGAAAGTGAGTTTCTTGGTGGCATTGTCCTCTTTGCTTGGTTTTAAACAGTATATGCTTCATAAACATTTGACATCACATGGCTCTTTCCTGAACAGTGCAGGTTGGGAGCAGTGTTAGAGCTTCTTAACTGATTTTGATAGGAGGTGGTTCACATTGTATTTTGGCATTGGTAACAGACTGTACTTGTGCCAGCCCAGATGTCTCTAATTCCTCTATCTGTTTTTGCATTTTCTGTGGAAACTTCTGAGTTGTGATTTTGTATATGTAGTTTACTAAACCACATCTGCAGTCTTTGTGAAAATGGTAGGTGCTTTCAGCGTTTGGAGTCACAGGGTTTAGGTCAGATTTTTTCCAAAGCTGGTTAAAGAAACTGGTGGCCAGCTCTTTCAGCATTCTCCAATAGAGCTGGAAGCAAACTGAGTGTAGCCTGAGGAGGTGATCCCTTCCCCAAGACTGTTTCTCTTCCATTTTTCAAATAAGACTCTTCTGATACTTTGTTATGATGGGTACTGGATTGATGATTTATTAATTGTCATTGCACAGAGCATTTTTATACTTAAATTCAATAGAATTCATACATTTAGCACTGTAGGAAGAAAAGTGGAGTGGGTGGAGAGGTGGTCATCTGGGGGCTGACTCAACTTATATTGTGTACTGCCTCATGGAAACTTAACTTAAATTGTCCAAATGTATCTGAAAATGAATACTTCTTTACATCTGTAAAAATATACCACACGCTTGCTTACTGTTCTTAAGACTTGCATTTTCTAAGAAAAGATGCATCATAATAGAAGCAAATTTTTCCAAGTTAGGAATGTATTAGTAATTAAAGCTATACAAATGTTTGAGAGTGTTCTTTAGTGACTAACTCTTCTGCAGCTGGCAGATCTTCCAACCACATTTTACAGAAATAGGCAAGGCTTTGCTTACTTGATATGTTCTCTTCTCTCCCCATCTTAAGATACCTGCTATGGAATAATAAATGGCAAAATGAAACAGGAGAGGAAAATAGAAACCAGTTGCGCTCAACAATTCCAAATCACTGTTTAACATTAGAACTGTTTACAATAATTTGCTTTTAGTAAAATAAGTAAATAAATAAAGTACAGCACGAAACATCTTGGCAAAATTTGCATCAGACTTCACCCTTGGGGTGTGTAATTTCTAGAGGTAACCCAAGGGAAGAGAGGATTGTGTTTATTGCGATGGTTTTTCTTTGAATGTCTTAAGCTTCTCTTCATTTCTGGACTGTTTTTACAGCTATATAATTGGTCAGATTCTTTCTGATCAGCCCCGAGACATAATCGTGGAAAATATTCAAAGACGGCTTATAGAAATTGGGGAGAATGTGATCAATGGCCAGGTCCCAGTAAATCAGTTTGAAATAAACAAGGTAAATGATGTCTCAGCTCTCTTCTCTCTCAGAAAAACTTGACTGTTCCTGAATATATTGACTGCTGATAAAAATCTTTTTAATCCTTATGATGCTGTGAAATATCGGGAGTTTTGTCAGATACTGAATAGCATGGGACATGCTGCAAAGATCCTACAATGTGAGGAAAAAATACCTTGTGGGGCTGGAGGCCAGTCTGACTTCCTCAGAATAACAACTTTGTGCCTTGTCTCATCCTGCTGTCTTACCCACTGATTCTGCACTTGGAGAATGACATGATAGCTCAGGCTTTCAGGAGAAGTTTTCTCCTAAATGGTTATATTTCATGTTTAAAATACATAAACTGGAGAATGCAATGGAAAAGAATCCAATGTTATATGCTTTTACTTTTATATGGGTTTTCTAGAAAATACTGTCATTAGTTTATTTCCCTTCAGATCTCCGTGGAAGAAAGCTAATAGTCATTCTGAGCTCTCATTCAAGACTCTCCTGCAGCAAGAAATAAAATACTCTGCTTTATCTACAGGATTTTTAGCAAACTTTCATATCATCCATTTCACTATTTAGTCAAATGTATAAGTTGTTTCTAAGAACTGGCATGACAGTAAATATTTAAACGTAGCATTTTATTGTATGTAAAGGAAAAACTCATTCTGGAATCTCAGTAGTATGAGTTACATGAAAATGTTTTAAATCCTGTTGGATCTTCTTGCTGCAGAGCTTGTTAAATACACTTAACTGCTTGATAAACAGATTTCCTTTGTGACCAGAGCTGTTGTGGGGGTAGGAGGGTAATCTCTGGATGTATTTTTGTATTTTTGCATAATGTTTTCATCTTCAATTTAGTTTAATTTTAAAACAATTTCATTATTTCTGTAACAGTTTTGAATTGTTGTGCTTTTAATATAACACGTTTTTCAGACGCTAATTGTAAGATCATCCTCTCATTAATAATAACATTTTTAAAGTATGAAGGACTGGTACCTAGACCTTAATGTCTGAAAAATACCTTTATTACAAGTTTTCCCTCTCTCTTTTTTGTGTTGTAAATATACTCGTGAATAGTAGATGGATGAAGATAGCTGCTCTGTAATCTTGTCTTTCAGACTTCTGAGTTGTCTATCACTGAGGTAAAATACTTTTCTCACAATTATGTTTCTGTTTCCTCCTTTGATCTCCTAGGCATTGACAAAAGACCCACAGGATTATCCTGACAAAAAAAGCTTGCCACATGTGCATGTTGCCATGTGGATAAACTCTCAAGGAGGCCGAAAGGTGAAGGCAGGAGACACAGTGTCATATATCATTTGTCAGGTAAAAATGTCTTTATTTATAGCTAAATACTAGGTATTGTTTTGAGAGATGTCAAAGAAAACCAACTCAGCTCCTGGAAAAATAGGTTTTGGCGTTTCTTTATAGTGAGATTATGTTATAGTTTAAAATAGTCAGTTTTCTGTACTGAATTTAGTTGTATAGAGCCGGGAAGAACCATTGTGATCAGCTCAGCTCATCTTCCTGTTTGCTTATAGTGGCTGATAAAATTTCCCTGAATTAAGTTCTGTTTGGAAGTAGAACTTATTTTTAAGGAAAATATCCAGTCTTTGTTTTAAGGAGAAGAAAATTCTGGTGGTGAACAACCTGTCATTCTTGGAAAGTTAATTGGCGGTGGTGGTTAAATAGTGTCATTGCTATTTCCAGTCTCAACCTGTGCCTTCTCAGTTCATGGTCATTGGATCTGGCAGTACCTCTGTTGGACAGACCAGGGAATTTGAGCAGCTTTCTGTTTTCAGGTGTTTATCCTATAAATGCTTGTCATTATCACACAAATACATACTCCACTTTGGATTTGCTATTTAAAAAAAACTGTAGGTTTGATTAGATGGACCTCTTTGCCAAACCGGTGGACGTAGCAGTGTGACTTCTGCAGTGGATCACTGCTTCAGCTCCTTCATCATTAAAACCTGAGAGATACTGGTTTTGTTTAACTGAGAGTTCTTTGCCTGGTGTGACAAAGCTGCCAAGACTTACGAGAGCTGGGCCACGGGTACGGCTGAGCAGTGGCACAATAGAAGAGAAGAATGTACTTGTTGAAAGAAGGGAGCTGAAGGAATTGCATTGTAATTATTTTTGCAAAGCAGCTGGATGAGCTGAATAGTTCTAAATTAATTTTGTTCTGAATACTAAGTTGTCTGAAAGGAGTAGGAGGGACCAATGGCTTGCAGTCTGTCTTTATTAGTGATGGGGTTTCAGTCCATGGTTGCTGACCCTATTGAAGCCAGTACCTCGTCTTAACTGAAAAATGAAGGTGTCATGTACTAATGCGTTAGTTTTATTGTGCTGTAAAACAAAAAAAAACAAAAAAAAGAGACTGTACTTAGCAACAAATAAGCTGTGGTACTCCCACCCCATCCCTGTAAAGGTTTACTTCTATTACTGAACGCTTGCTAAAATACGACTTTATTCTGCTCTAAGATTTTTGACACACATGTAAAACTAAAAATTCCTAGTGTAGTTGTGGATTGGGAATACAATTCTGCAGACTGAATTAATTACATTTTCCAGAAGAGTACCATCTTCTTAGAGTTGATATTTAATTCCTCCGTGAATACTGTTTGCAATTTAATTATTGCCTTCCCAAATTGAATTATTTTCTCCTCTTTCAAGTCGGAGAATAATGTAATGTATACTCTAACCTCTGAGTGGTGTTTCTCTCTTGGCTTGAGATGTCCCCACATGTTTCTTTCAGGATTTCAGAATATTTCAGAATTTGCTCTTTCAAACCAATCCTATCGCCTCTGTCTTGTATTTGCATGCCAACAAACAGTGGTCCATCCTCTGACCAGTTGTTCTATTTCTTTCTTTATAGAATCGAAGAATATGAATTTCCTAGCAAAACAGATATAGTTTTGATATCCACAACTTAAAATTTGCTGCTTGTGCAAAATGATAATGCTAGTTCAGTACAAAGTGAATCCAGAATGCATGCCCTCTGCGTATTTTTAACTGGGCTGATGGTTACAATGTGTTTTCATTGTGCGTTTCAGAACTGACAGATGGGACTGTTTACTCTGTCTACTCTTACTGATTTGCACGTGTAAGCTGCAATAATACAAGCTGGATTTACATTCTTGAACTTGCTAGTTGATGCCAGCACCAGCCATGCAATTTTTCTTTACCACTGCTGGATTTGTATTGGGTGCATAATAAATCAACCAAAAGAGATTGATTGTGTAACCATTTTGCATTAAAATAATGTATAATATTTTAAGCGTAATCCTTTGCATAGTCTGAGTGTGGATTTTACTTCTTTCACCCTTTGTTTCGTATGTGTCTCCTGTCTTAGGATGGATCACATCTCAGTGCCAGCCAGCGAGCATACGCTCCAGAACAGTTGCAAAAGCAAGACAATCTCACTATTGATACGCAGTACTACCTGTCACAGCAAATACATCCAGTAGTTGCCAGAATATGTGAGCCCATAGAGGGAATTGATTCTGTTCTAATTGCAACGTGGTTAGGTAAGTAGTCTAAATCCAGTTTGTTTAGAGAACTACAAGAGTGGAAATGTGAAGTTTTAAAGTTAGTTTCTTAACAGGATGGCTTTCCCAAATCAGCCTTTTTCCAATGGAGAGTGTTACACGGTCTGTAGAAAGCAGGTTGGATTGTAAGTGTGTTTCTGTGACTTTGGCAGAATACCATTTTTCAGAAGGTGCTCGTTAATGTGAAATTGACTTGACAATTCTTGTTCAGAGTTTCAAAAATTCACTGTTCATAAATGATGGTACTATTGCACGTCTTTGAGATTTTCTTAAATTATACAATAGTTCTGGTGCGTGCATCCAGAACTAGCGTCTTTCCAGAGAGGGACCCTAGCATCTCTAACATCTTGCCAGGGAGAAAGCAGTCATAGCTATAATGTAAGGAGACAAGTTTTTAGTAGGGTGTAAGCGAAGACTTTTGTTTGCTAGAACTGTCCTAGTGGATAATGGGAACATAAAACCTTAACAACAGTCTTGCCTGCTCCATGTGGAGAAACAAAGTGGGTGGGGGGAAAAGGAAGTGCTATAAAAATGTGACTAATGCTAGTGACCCACAGAATCACCAGTTTTTATTCAAATGAGCAACAGGGAATTGCACTTGTTGGTGTTGTTACTTGTCTTAGGAGGATGTCAAAGGAATTAGAATTTGAGATTTTTCTGCCCAGCTCTGATTGCCTCAGTCTTCTCCATTCCCTAGGCTTCTTACCTAGGAAGAAGTATAGTTCCTGAAAAATTGTTAACAATTCTGTCAGAATTGTCAGAATGTTTTCTCTTTCCATGAAAACACAGTTCCGTGTGTGTAATCCTTTTAGTGTTGCTTCTTCCCTAAAAGTAATTCACCAACCGACATGACAGATCTCCTTGATAAGCAGAAATTTTGTGATTGGTATCCCACATCTAGTTCATTATTTTTAAAACTGTTACTCAAGGGCATGGAAAAAGTTGTTAATCTTGCTGGCTGCTGAGCTCTTGACAAGACTTTTCTCCCACAAGAAAACATATTTGGAGAGTTGCACTGTGACTGTTTAATAATCTGCTGTTTGATGCTATGCCCAGGTCTACAGGAAGTTCAGACCTGCAGAAATGGTTTTGTTCAGAATTTTGAAATGCTCAAGGAAGGAGTGAGTCTTCAGTGTTTTGTGTTTAGGCAATGGCCAAGATCCAGGATTTGGTCACTTAAAACCAACTGGCAGCATGTTGCCCACAGGGCTGTTCACTTGGGACGCTGCATCTCTGTAGCTTCCGTACTAAGAGCAGGTCCTGCTCGTGGTGAGCTCGCAGTATGCAAGTAAGTTCCTGTCTTCTTGCTTCTCAAGAAGGCTGATAGCCATGACAGATCTTATTAAGACAGTCTGTATAATGTGCAGCTTTTTCCATCTCCATTTCCAAGTTGTCCATTAAAAAAGACAGGAGGAATTTTGCTTTTTCTGGGAGGCTGCAAGGGTATTTCTTGGAGGCATTCGATGTTGCACTGTGTCCTCAACAGCTCTGCTGCTGTGAGGAGGTGTCAGCCCTGCTTCACACATGCAGGCTGACCATACAAATCATTCTGTTTATGTGGCAGGGCCTTGGTATACAACTTTTCCTTGATGTCAGAGTGGACTATGTGGTATGTCTGACTGGAAAGGTCAAACACTGTTGGTTAGGTTGAAGCGGTTTAAAATAGGCGGTAAACTTGTACTTCATTTAAGTAAAGGACAGGGAAAGACTTCCAAAGCAAACTTACTTGATTTGGCAAAGATTGTTAGTCTTACGCAGTTAAGCTCAAACTCAGATTTGATCCTTATTCACAACAGGTAGGATTTTCAGGAAAGACTGGCTCCCTTCAGGCACCTGAATTGAGTGCCCAGATTGTAAGAACTGTGTGCCACTTGATAACATCTACTGTTTGCCGCTTTTTGCACTATAGTGTGTTCAAGATGAAAATTTCTTTTATGGTCTGTAATAGCATCATGCAGCTGAGAGTTTATTAATAGTCCACAATTGTCAGTCTGAAAACCTGTATGTATCTATTACAATGTTAGATCTGAAATGTGTTCAGTTTGACCTTGCTGTGCTGTAAAAATGTTCTCTCCTTCTCCAGCTTTGTTTTCTTGGGAATGCTTAAGTTGAGCTGGAGGGTAAAGTCAGGTCTTTCTCAAAACTTGTGCTCTCCTTAGGTCTTTGTATACAGCACTTAGAGTCGTACATAAATGATTGCATGCTGAAGTTACCTTTAAGCTGTTTTTTTAACAGTCCTGGAGGGATGGTCAAGTGGTTTGTTTCAAAGACATTGAAAATGGTTACACGGTACAAAAGTGTACAAGATACTTGAGCCCAGCTTGCTAAAACAAGCAAACATGAAAACTGTTTCCTGTTTTGTATTGCTAAATTGCTTTTTTTGCTTAGCATTTTCATCATGTTACACATCCAAATTCCCGTCGTATTTCCTATCTTGTTGCAAAACAGCGTATTTTTTTTGTTCTGAAGAAAGCTAGTGTTCCGGAGGGTATCTAAGTGTCCTATCTGCGGACCGTAACTCGGTTGCATTCTCATCGTGTGTGTCTTGCTCTGCCTGATCTGATTTATTGTGTTATAGAGGGTATGTGTCTGCACAGAGAGAGTGGTTGTAGAAAAAAGATCTTGGTTTCATACTTAACAGAATATTTATTTTAACATATTTATAAGGTGAAGGTTTCATTCACGCGTCACTGTGTTAGTCCAAGTAGATAAAATTGAGCTCTGTTTAGGGGAGGTTGGCTCATATCAAAATGATGGGGAAAAAAAGTTCTTTCTTCTGTCTGTTCTCACAACAAGTTATTTTAAGCTATTTTAGACACTGAAGAACAAAAGCAAATAACCACACCTAAAAATTGCAGGAGAACCCCTTAGATATCTCATTTGTTCACTATGGAATCAAACTGAAAATTGCCTTTTGGTTTTGGATGTTGTAGGAGTTCTGCCTATCCTTTGAGAGAGGGAAATTCATTGCTCCTAAAATCGAGAACCTCATGGGCATAGTTCTTGAAGTTCTCAAGGGAAAGCAATGACAAGATGAGGATTGTCAGGGTTTCTAAAAGTAAGTGAAGTCTGCAATCTGATCAGTAACATGATTCATTAAATCTGATCTTCTTAAATACGCAGAGACCTTCCTTACCTCATCCTGAAGATACCTATAGCTTTTAAAGGTAAAGAACTGTATTGGCAGAACAAGTTTCTTAACGTATTTAGAGTAAGGGGTTTTTTTAATTGATGCGGAAATACTGTTCCTTGTCTCAAAGAAAAATCACATCTTATTCCCATGTTGTCAAAAGTAAACATTATGGAAGCAGAGCCATTTAACCATGGGATTTTTGTAGCTGTTACTGCATATAGTTTTCTTTAAATTACGGAAGTTGCTAACTGCTGACCTATGCTGTGTCACGGTCTTCTGAGGGAGATGTGTGCTGCTGCCTTACAGGTGGACGTGCTCTGCAGACTGCGTGGCATTTGGCCGTTTCTTACGAAGGCGCTCTGATTCTAGGCAGCCATTACTTCATCCTGATGAGCCTTGTCATTTGGGAGTCCTTCCCAGTGTGGGTTCCTCCGTCAGTGCAGTGAGCATGTTAGCTGCTCCTTGTAAGGAAACCCACCACGACCTCAAAGATACTGTCTTTTTTTAATTATTATTTTTTTTATGCCTAGAGAGTCACTGAAGAGGTGCCTTTACTGCAGTATTTAGCAGCTTCTCAGACCGACTCTCCTGGCAGAAACCAGAGAGCAGTTGTGCTCTCCTCGTGGCACCCAGGAATTGTGTCAGTCTCTTCCTTTTTAATGGTTTCCTCACATTAGGCAGCGAAGCGAGAGGAGAATGATGGAAATTAAGACTATAGCAATGACAAAACTTCCTGACAATACAGTGATAAACCCCAAAGTGTGTGAATTTTGCTGTTTGTGGCCTAGCTGGGATTTTTGGGGGTGCCCCAGACCTGCGTGGGAACGGAGATTTGAGGCGTGCTGCGTGCCCTGGCTGCGCAGGGGGCTGTTTGAAGGGGTCCCTGCGGCAGGCACACGAGCTTTGCAGCGCAGGAGGATCAGTTTGAGGAAAATAAAGCAGCGGGCGTTTCCGAAGGGCAGGGGCCTTGGCCGCCCGGGGTCAGGTTCAGAGGCCCCGGCCCGGCCCGGGCCCGGCTGCAATGCGCGGCCGAAGCCTCGAGGTGGCAGCACCGGATGCCGTTTCCCTTGCCTGTCACAAAATGTCTAACGGGCAAAGGTGCGGGCGGGGAAACTTTCCCTGCTTCCCGAATAACCTGCCTCTGAAATACGAAATCCAGGGACAGGCCCTCGGGCTTTGTTCAACGGTCCGCGGGGAATCTGGCCAGCGTCGTGCCGAGCGTCCCCGCGGAGGCCCCGGGGCTCTCCTGTCCCCTGCCTGCTCCCTCCCCGGGGAGCGGGAGGGGTGCGAGGGGAGACGGGAAAAACCACCTGCCGAAATGCTGGCTTTAAATTACAGCAATTAGTAAAACATACTGGACCTTTTTTCAGTTTCCTGAGTGATATCTTTTGCTTGCTAGTTAGCAAACATTTTAATAATTCTGTGAAGTAATTCAAGAACAAAACTTTTGTTATTTGCTCGCGTCACACTAGGTTCATCAGGGTGTTTTTACTGTTACGTTTGTCGTGGATGCAACCTTGCAGTTTTGGTGAGGTTGGAAAGCTCACCTGTGGCGCAGGTGACTTGGTGATTCCCCTGAAGGTTTTCATGTCGGAGTAAGTCAAAGTCCCTTTGAGTTTTCCAGGTGTCATGGGGGGGGGGGAAGGCAGATTTCGAAGAAGTTCACTGATCAGTCTCATCCTATTCCATAAAAATTACCAAAACCAGATATTACTTTCTTACCCCACCCATCAGGTAGTCCCTGTTTTGTTTACTAAGTAGAGCAATATGACCAGTGTGACCTGGTCCGAGAGGATACAAGTTAGTATGCTGAAAGGGACTAATTGAACCAACTAACTATTCCTGAAAGGAGATAATAGATAAAATAGGTCCCAAGTCCACAAGAGAATTAAGGTAGGCATGTTCTTTAAAAGCCTCATTTGTAGTCCCTTCGATTTCACTGGGGCTGTCTGCACACCGAAAGTTAGATGTACACTTGAATCATAGCAATATTTTTCCTGTTGTTTTTTTCCAGCCAAAATAGCTAAGAAAGTTCAGATATAGGTGTGATTTAAATTATTCCAATAAATAATTTTTTTTTTCCTGAGTTAAATTATTACTGAATGTCCAGATGCTTACTTGCTCTCACTGATTTTGACTGAATATTGGAAAACTGCAATTGTCTAAGGACCAGAATTTATCTCCTTTTGTCTTTTATTTAGTGAACTATTTTGCTCTATATTTGCCTTTTGGGAAACAACCAAAGATAAGTTTCTGGCTGAGCTTTAATGGTGTCTGTATTGGAAAGTTGTGACGATCTTTTTTCATTCCACTCTGAACTCAGAGTAAACTGAGACTTTTTGTTTTTGTTCACCATTACCGTCTTAGATCCAACCTACTGCATACTTTGTAGGGGTTTTTTGCAAAATCTTAATACTAAATTCAAGTCCTGTTTCTAAACCTTTTATCTATGACCTCTGTTGCAGAACATACTCTGTTTTCCAAAACAACAAATATATTGCCAACTATTAAAAAGGGGGGTGGGGGGGTGGGAATAAATAAATAAACCCCCCACACACACAGTGGTTTTGGGGAGGTACTGTATATGTTAGAGTGTAAAATAAGCTATTAGTAGTGTCTTTTGCTTTGTTTACTCTTCTTTTTTAATGAATAGTACAGAACTGTTTTAAAAGTTTAAGAATTTCTTGGAGGTGAATTGTTACCCTCAGGCATTGCTATTTGTTTCTTTTCATAAAATTAAGATTGGGAAGATCAATTAAATTTCAGTGAAACCCCAGTTCAGTCGAGAACCAAATAAACTTACTTGGCAATGGGATTTTTCTTTGTCCTTAGATTTGTTTTATGGTTGCGAAATAGAAATTCAGAATAGCGATTATAGTCACACACCGCAAATCTTTTATGTAAAGACAGCTCGTATCTACCTGTATAACACAACTGTTTTATATGTGCAACAGTGTTTGTCGAGTTTAACTGAATATTGTTCCCAAACATTTTCTTGAAGCCTCCCAGTACTGTATAGTAAGGTTAAAAAGAACTGTAAAATCTAGCTTCACTTTCTGTTTGTAATCTCTCTTGCTCTTTATATAATAATCATTACATTTGTTATTGAAATATACGCAAGATGGGGGTAATACAGGGTAATCTGTTACTTGGCTGAATTTGTAGTCCCTGTTAAAAAATATTTTTGAAGTGCTTCTCTTTGATCTTTTTTTTTCTTAATAATAAAGTAAGCCGTAGTTTTCTAAACATTTTTTTTCTCATTCTCTTAATGCTCATTAAATTAAATTTTTTTTTCCTAGCATATGCTGTTTGCTAGAGTTTACCAAAAAAAACCCTGTAAATGGGATACATGGGCTTTTAAATGGTTGCACATGACAAAGGATGAGAAAACCCGTGGATTTTTATTAAGTTTACTTTGGCAGTCTTATTCCTCGGGCAGTGAACTTCGTGCTTGCTTGCTTATTTACTTATTTGTGGTTGAATCAGTATTTTTAGGATCCCTTTTGTGTATTCATTTGTTTAAAATCTCGAGTTCTGGCAATCAGAAATAAAGCATTTTGTCTCCAGCGCTGCCGTTTTAAATGCTGCTGCTGAATTTTAACCACTGCATTAGATTGAAACCTACATGCTGTTAACCACTGAGCCAAAATGAAATCGACCACTGCATTGAAATCAGAGTTGGCAGTTGTGTACGGACTTGAAGGAGTTGGTAATAGCAGTGCACCCGTGTTCCTTTAATGGGGTTTTTATTCTCTGTTTTCAGTTTTAATGGTGCCATTTTGATTTAAAGACTGTTTCTTAATAACGATGCACATTTTTATTGAAATATTTTCAATGTAACTTAAGAAGAAAATAACAATAAAGCTATCCGTTAGGAGTGGTTTCCTCAGAAACGAAATGTTCCGTTGCCTACTCCCATGACAATGCGGCGTGCTTGTTTTATTTATAAAGCAATCTTGCGTAAGAAAATAGTAAGAAGATTTCTTCGTGTTTCGTGAACCTTTGCTTGTGGTTAAAAAATGTAGAATGTATTTATGTTCTGTAGAGGGGGTTTTGCGAAGGAGAGATTTTCAGCTTCTGAATTTACATTTTGTAACTTTCTTTTGAATCTGCTTCGCCAAGCATATGAAAAATGAGCCCACTTGCATGGCTGACCTCTTAGTCTTTTGAAATTTTTGTTTCTTATTAATAGGACTGGATCCCTCCCAATTCAGAGTCTATCACCATTACCATAAAGATGAGGAGGATGATGCCTTGGTTGGTGGCCTAGCTCAGCTCACCGATGAGGAGAAATATAAGAATTGTGAAAGATTCAAGTTTTGCTGCCTTAAATGTGGAACAGAAAATATTTATGACAATGTCTTTGATGGTTCGGTTAGTGTTTCTTTCTGTTTCATTTCTGCTCATTGGTGAGGGAGAAAAATACTTGCAGAGAGAATGGCTTTTCAGATAGGATTCATGTGATGCAGGAGAAGATACCATATTGTTTGTGCCCTGCTATTTATAGCTTTGGAACAGAAATTTGCTGATAGGACAGTGCTGAAATATTTTTCTCATTTTTGCATTTCAGCTGTGTCGTCTAGCAGAACATACGAGATTATCTGGCTTCATTAATCTGCTTGCCTACAGTCATGAATGATTGTTGCTGTAACTTTTTAAGGAATCCTTATCTTAACACCTTAGTAACTTCCAGTTCTCCATCTAATGAAACTTTCGTATAGCAGCGGCGATTTCTTATCCTAAATCATATTAATTGGAACAAAATGTTGTTGAAACGTGTTTATCTTGCTACATCCCACTTCCTTTCTTGACAGTAAGGTTTTTCTGTCTTATCTTCCCTTCTGTCTTTGTGAATCGCACATAAAAAGTCATAGGGGTACATTCCTGTTGAGAAGTTCTGCCAAAAAATGTATCTCTGACCTTGAATCACAGCTTGAAATAGGGCCAAGTATTTAACTCCACAGCGATGTTATGCATGTATTAGTCATTGGCAAATTAGCGAGCTTCAGAGCAGTGGAAACCTTGAAACGGAAAGCAAATAAATCTTTTATCTAAATTAAAAGTAATTATTTTAAGTTAATTTGGACAAACAGCAGATGTTTTGCATTTTTTTTTAATCAAAATAAAGCAGTCTTTGGAAGCAAGCAAGGGGAAAAGACATACAAATCAAGTGATACTTTGAATCCTTGACTTTTGTTCATTGCAGCTGTAAATAAGACAGTTAATTGCATGTAGGCTTGACAACTTGCAGATGGGCTAGCTGGAGAGAAGTGGATGTTAAACTCAAAAAAACCCCACAAAACCCCAGAAAAATCCACCAAACAACAAAAGAAAAAACCTCTCTTCCACCTGGAATTATTTAGTGTTGTGGGTGGGTGTTTAGCCAAGATGGCTCAAAAAAGCAAAGTCTTACCTGGAAAAAAAAAATTCTAGAAGTTGTTCAACCTACTAGGTTGTTCTTATTTTAATGAGAATTCTGCCAACTTAGTTCCAGCTGCTAACACATCACTTCCAGTTTCTGAAGTTCTAATGTCAGGTGTTCAGAAGGTTTTGAAAGTTAGGGGAATGAGGTGGTGTAGAATAAGAGCTGTTATTTGCGTTTGGAGAAGATAAAAGATGATCATGTCATTCTTGTTTAACAAGGTTTGTCTCTACTGCCCTGTTGATAATTTCATAATTGGTATCTATAAGGTTGATTTCAGTGTTCTGATCAGTCAGTTGGGGCAGAATTTTGTTGTTTCATCAGGAACACCCAACCTGTGTTGTCTGGGGGGAGATGTGGGAACGTGATCTGTCCATAGATTAATTGTTTTACTCAACATCATCTTTGGAATGATTACGTTTGTAGCAGGTAAAAGAAGTGTGTTCTCCAAAAGGTCTTTCATTAAGAAGAGAATGGGAAAGCTGTAGGTCAGAGGAGTCTTTATATGGGTGTGGCCAACTGCGATGGGCAGAAAGAAGGCCTTTAAGTTAGAAGCCCTTTAAAGGACACATTTTTAAAAATATGTATCATGTCTAAACTCCTTTGACAACTTTTTCTACCATCTTCTGTTGTAATGATGCATGCTGTTTTTACAATTCTGTTTTCAGGGGCGATTTATTGAACCCAGCTTGCAAAGGTGCAGCAAGACTGAATGTGACGAGCCTCCTTTCAACTCTGTGGTTCAAATGAGCAACAAATTACTGCTGGATATTAGACACTACGTCAGAAAATACTATAATGTAAGTTTTCAGAAAATATTCTGCCACATGAAACGAGTTTTCTAAGTGGTGCTGAGTTTTCAGTGACTGTCATGTTACGTTTTCTTGGTACAGTCCAAGGTAGTAACATGCAGTATCAAAATCCAACTTTATGAAAATTTTAAAAAATCAATTAATGATCTCAAATACTAATTCAGAAGGTTTGTTTTCTCGGTTCAGTCTCAAGTCAAGATAGTCAGATTAAACTTCTGTAACAGTATATGTCAGCATTATTACAGGTGTAGTAGCTCTGTTCTCTAGATTTTTAGATGAAAAAGTGCGGAGAGTTGATTATCAAAATGCTTTTGAGAAAATCTGAGTCCTAGCAAATATGCAGATATTGGAGAAAAAAAGAGGAAAAAGATGGGTAGTTAATTAATTTGATATAGCTCTCTTTTTTTGGAGGGCAGTGCAAGAAATCCACAGTGCCAGTGGTAGTGACTGGCTTTGTATGGCATTGTGAGAAAAACCAGAAATGTGGTATTTGAAATTCCCATTTTTGCACTGTCCAAAGTGGTAACTGGTTAGATTAAAAAAATCATGATTTTTAAATTGTATAAATATGGTTTGCATCTCTGATCTACTGGAAGCATGGTATTTTGTGAAATGGCAGCTAGCCATTTTGGTCAAATTTTCAGATTTTCTTATCCTCATGCCTGCCTGCCTTTTCTGGTTGTCCAGTGTTGCCTGTTTTTACAGCCTCAGGACAGACGTTGGTTTTGAAGACACTCATAGTGTTTGGGTGCCCATAACCTTTGACATACTCAAAAAATGTAAATTGGTTTTGAAAACTTGGCCTGTAAATGAATCGCTTACCTAATTGGTGGAGTGTTTTCTTAAGCAGACAGCAGCTACAATGCTAAGAATTATCACTGTAATCAAACACTGAGTGTGTTTCATGCTAATCTTTCTTCCATGTTAGTTCTTTTGCAGTTGTAGGTAAGAGTTTTCTAAGCTTTTTTCTGGATATGTAATAATTTCTGAATACATAAATACTTCTTTGGAAGGTTTTTGCATCAAAAAGAGCATGGAAATTTTTTTAAAGTATTTCAATTCAGGTGTTTTTTCACATGGTAGGGATAGGTTGTTCCTTTCTGTTCAAGGTAAAGGTAAATGACTTGGATTGGTGCACTTACCAAAATGCAAGATCTGGTGTTACTTTACTGCAGGATCTACCTGGCTGCAAAATTGTCCTTGATATTACTATAGATATAATATTAAATTATACAATGTGTTATTAAATAGTATGTCATGGTAATATGTTTACACAGACTTCTTTTATATAAAAGTTGCTTCTGATTAAATATTTTAGATTTAATGTATGTGTATTATGATAATACACAATGCCATATGCTAAGTAATTTCTGGCATACAGGGCGGTAGAAAATGTGCATAAGATGTGCAATAATAAACGTGATGAATGAATGAAGATATATTTAAGGGCAGGAAAAATTCTTATCACAGATAAGAACGAAGTGGTGTAATATTTTACTCTGTATGCATTCCCCCCCCACCTTTTTTTAAAGACCAAGCTGGGAACCAGACTCTTAATATAATGTAAACAAAATGCAATGTTCAATATTCAAATATTTCAAATTTTAATTTAAAAATTATATTGTATTAACTATCTTACTACATGGTACACAGGATAATGAAGTTTCCTTCAAAAGGAATTTATTTGCCTTTGTAAGTAAAAGCTTTATAAACTTGGGTCTATTTTTAGTACTGAGAATCTACCTTTAACTTAGCTATAAAAATAAGGTGTAAAACTGCTTTTTGACTGTGGAATACTTTCAGACTCTAGAAGTGCAAGATTATTTCATTGTAAAAAGTAGTACCTAAATTGTGCAATAGTTTTCATTTTAAACAAGGGCTTTCCCTGGAGTTGGGCAAGTGAACTTTTTGTCCTGTTAGCTCTTAGAAAGTCAGATGCTATTTTAGATTATTCTTTTCATCAAGTACTTGTCATGACTGTATAACAGCTGGAGTTGAAATTCATCAAATGGGTGTTTGCACTAATGTGTGTAATCCTATAAACTATAAAGACACACCCAGGAGTTGTAGTGTGGTAAAGAACCGTTTGAACAAAACATTGGATGAAACTTTGAGATGCTTATTTAACAGTCTCCTGTTGTAGTGGTTGCATCTGAAAGGCATGGAAATACCAGTTTAAAATAGACAACTGTATTGTCCAACTTTGTCACTCCATTAATTTTTTACTTTATTTTTATTTTAGATATTACTGTTTGTGTGTTGGTCAAACGGCACATAATAGAAACCACAAAATGTGAAAATGAATTTTTTAACCTTTAAAATAGTGAACTCCCTGTTACGAAGACAGCCCTATCAAGAGCCTCTCGGCCTGATCCACAGCTCACTGAAATGAATAAGCTTACTTTTTTCAGTAAGCTTTGAATCAGATGTGGTGTTTTCAGTGTTTAAGATCATTGCATGTTGCTTCCTTCAGTCTATTGAAATGCTCTTGTAAGTGGCTGTGTAAATTTTGGGGCAAGGGGGAGTGCCATAAAATCTAAAAGTGGAAAATCTATTTGCCCTTTTTGGCATGTGAAACTGATAAATAAATAAATGCAGTGGTGATACACTTCTTTCCTTTAAAAAGATGCAAATATACATGCGTAAATAGAATTTTGCATGCCTCCTACAATCCCATTGTTTTTGTAAATGACTCGACTTTATACAGAATTTTCTGTTTCCACAATCATTTTTTGCTGTTAAATAGTTCAGTGTTTTATATCTCTCTTCCAAAACGTATCTACCATTGCTCCAGTATTTATGGATTTCTTAATGGTATTAACAATATCAGTTTTGATGATCTTGCTCCTACCTGTAAATATATCCAAAAAATGACATGCAAAGATTTTATTTCTTTTCAGAAATGCATTATTCTATGAGATTGATCCTGTTGTGTGCTTTTTTTTTTTTTAAATTCTGCTTCAGAAGAGCAAATAGATGAAAAGAGAGAGAAACGCTAGCTAATCTAAATTGGGAAATGAAGAGGGCTTTTTTAAGCATGAAAATTTCATCATCTTGTCAGCTGGCAGAATGCCTGCTGTGTGGATTCACAAAGGCTAAGAATTACACTTTCATGAAATTTTCCTCACTAACTGCCCTGGTTAATTTGAAAGATAACCCACTGTTCTAATTCATTCCTCAATTGGGTGGTGCAGGTTTTATCTTTGATCTGACAAAGCATTTGTGTTAATCGTTTTGGCCCTCTACTAGACACTCTTGGGATTGTGCTTTTACAATAAATGTGTCTGTGATAGCTCTTTAGTCTATTATACTTACAATAGATCCATAGAACTGGTAATTAATTCTGTACTGCTTTGGAAATGGGGAAGAATAGGTGTAGCTCTGTCAAGTGCTGCTGGGAAGTTTGTTTAGCTAGTTCATTTTTGAAGTGTTACCCTCAGCCATCAATGAAACATCCATGCTTGGGAATGGGTGAAGGCTGAAATGTGCAAGCATAAATGGAAAAGCTAACCAACTTTTGTGCATAAGGAGGGTGTAATTTCATTTATAGTAAGTGGATCTAATTATTATGATGGAAACTGTTTTGTGTTTCCAGCTAGAATGTTCAAGTGCTCGTTTTTGAGCATTTGGTAAATAAATGCCATCTCTTAGATCCCTTTTTAAAAAACCCTGTAAAAATCAGTATTCATATGCTTAAAATTAGTCACGTATTCAGCTGTTGAGGTGTTAGTTTTGCCAACTAAAAGGAACTGAGTAAAGAAAAAAATAAAACAACATATCGTATGTGCCATTTGGGCAGAATCAAAATTCATACTGAACGGGTTGGACCGGGAAGCTGTTGTCCCTGAAGCAGCAGATTTTTAGTCTTGTTTTGAAATATACACCTGCAGCATCAGTAGTAGTATATTCATAGGCTAAAACGTGTCTTTGTGTAGATGCTCTTTATATACTGTCTAGTTAATAGTGTATGGCATCTTTAGATCTTTTTTTTTTTTCCCCCAAAATGCATAAAATTATGCAAACTTTAAAATGGCTTTTAAAATTACTGAAAAAAATCTTGGTCCAACCTGTGTTGCACTGGCTTTGTTTTACAGTCTTTTTCTACTGGAGCACTTTAACCCACAGACAGAAGTGAGTTTGAAGGCTATTGAACACTGCTAAATAACTTTATACTGTTCAGCTGCGAAAATTCAGTGTTCAATAGCCCTCAAAATTTCTCATTTCTTACCTGTGGTGGGGTGGTCTGCCGCTTGCACGTCAGGTCGCAGCATAAGAGCCTGTTGGTACACTTTTCAAGGTCTTTGAATTATTATTTTATATTTATATATTACTGTTCTGGCTGTTGTATGCATGTTCTTGGGGTTTGCATTAGTTTTTTTTATACTTAAAAAGGCAAAAGATTTATAAAGAAGATAGTATCATAAGAGGCAATAGCGTTTGCACAGGTTTGGGGATTGCATGGCATATTCGCTTAAGAGAACAAGATGACAGGGCTCATTGTGAACCTGGAATCTCCCACATTGCAGCTGTGTGTATTGCCAACAACCCACAGGTGTACACCACATGAACAGGTGAAAATATGATCCGAGATGATGATGATGACTTCTGTAATCATGTTCTTGCACCAGACATGTATTGAAAGCTTTTTTGTTTGGTGGGTGGGTTGGGGTAAGAAGTTTCTTTGTCCTGAGGGAAAAGTGCTTAGCAGTGGCAGCAGAGCAGTATTTTGTTTATCGTTGTGCTAATAGTACTAGAAGTATATGGGCATGTGCTAAAGAGTAGGTGGGGCCAGAAAATAGGAGGAATTGTGACACCAGCTGATGCAGTAGGCACCATCACATAGCTAGAATCTGCCGTCCAATTAACTCTGGTGATTATTTTGAGTCCTTCCTGTTTGTATGGAAATGGGCTTCTGAGTCTTTTCCAAGTTTGAACTTGTATCACTGTCATTTTGGTTTATACATACAGAAACCGAGACGTTTATTTTT